TTTTTTTTTTTTTTTTTTTTAAACGAGGGTTCTAAGCAGTGATTCCTAGCTCTAAGTTTGACTCTAGATATAACTTTTCCACCCCGTTCACTCTTCAGCTAAATAATCCGAAACGATAACAGTTGTGTTAGCTTTAACTCTTGAATAAATACTAGTATAAACTATATTCCCTAGCTGTTAAAGTTGCTTATAAATTGAATCGTTTAATTACACAGGATTTAACGCTTTTCTCATCGTCCACCCATGTTTTGAGGTGTTTATAAAAGATCAATGGAAGTTAACAGTTTGAGAACTGACTTGCCACATTCAGCCATTAATTCAAGAGAATTCTCAGGAAATGCCCACTTTTGTTACTTTTAGAAGATGCTCGTCTGTGAAACTTGCGGTGTTCTACTAAATATAATTTCATGCTTTTCCCATGATTTTTCTTCAACAGTGTACAGAGTTTATCGTCAGAATATACAATGAATACTGAAGGCGTCCAGAAGGCGAACTCTACTGCTAACTGGACAAACACTACTGCTAACTGGACAGCAACAGATGAAGTTCTATCCCAGTCCTCTCTCCTTACCGTTCAAGTCTTTCTTGGCGGAATTTCTGTGTCAGCGTTCCTAGGCAACGGTCTGGTTTGTGTTGCTTTCATGCGAAACAGAGAAATCCTGAGATCCGCTAACAACACATTTTTGTTCAGTTTGGCCATAACTGACATGTTAACAGGTAATAGATGTGAAGGCTCTTGTCTTATGACTGAGGAAATTACTTCAGTGTGATTGATTGTGAGGAAACTAATTTATCAATCATTTTCAGATTTCATTCAGATAGCTCAATCTCCTGAAGCTATTCTATAGAACTTATAACGCATAGCAGTCTTCTCGAATCTCTGGCGCCAAAGTTAGGCGTTTGAAGGATATTCTTAAACAGCAAAGTTTGGCAATTGACCTTTCGAAAATTTTAAAAAACGCGCAGTGTCAAGGGATGTTTGAAAGATTTTAAGCTTACTTTTTCTTTGGCATCAGCAGTGTATTTTAAACACGCCTATTTTTTACATACTTTAAAACAGTTAATTATGTATTTATATATTACGGGACAAATAAGTTATAGTTTAGGGGGCCACTAACTGAAAACAAACGATCAGATTGCTCCATTGTCAATCCAATATTCTCTCAGTATTGGACCGGGCACCGTCCCGAATGATCCCACACGATCACTCTTGAAGACGTTTTGGTTGTTTTATGGCTTAAGTCTGTGAAAGAACTTGCTTTAAACATAAAAGATTCCATTTTCTTTTCTCCCAATTCCCTTTCCCTTCTGGTTTGCTTAACATCAGATTTTAGTATATGCCAAGTCAGCTCCCAAACAAAATTGAACGCTTTTTTCCAGTCTTTGAGCGTGTCATATTTTTCTAAACAATCTCAATCGTGTTATAAATCTCTTAATAATCACGCTTGTTAGGAATCGAATATCGACCCTCAGTCTTTTTCGTACGGACCTTGCTTCGCTCGGTCCGTACTATCAAGACCTCGGGTCGATGTTATTCTCCCTTTGCAACACTCGTTCAGAGAAAATTTTAGATTTACCTCATTAACTTTTACAAGGTGTTGTCAGCGCCAGGATTAACAGTTTTTGTTTGCGGGTTTCAGGTGTTTGGATCCTGGTTACACCAACACTGGTAATAGACGGTGATTCCTTTCCAGTCCTCACCGGTCTGGCAGGAGACTTGTTTTGTCGCATGGTTTTTTCACAGTACTTTGTGTATGCCATGAGCAAGGTGTCCGTCTTCACAGTGACAGCGATGTCGTTAGAGCGTTGGTATTCCATAGTGAGACCATTCCACCACAGAGCGAACTTCAACATGAAGCGAATTTACACGTACCTGGTGCTCATTTGGTTGCTTGGTCTTGGCAGTGTGGGCTTCGTTCCGTTCGGAAGGGTTTTCATCTCTCCGACAAATGACTGCGTTTGGAGTTGGGAGCCTTTTCATCGCGAACTACTTATCGCCTTGTTCCCACTCTTAACCTTCTTCACTCCAGCTCTAATAGCTTGCTTAACACTTCTACACACATATTTCGTGCTAAAAAGATCCCGGTTTCGACAAACAGGAAATAGAAACGCCGCAACAAAGAGAAAACTTCTTCGGATGTGCAGCATTGTAGTTTTTCTGTTCTTTTTCTGTTGGCTTCCTAATCAGTTGTATTACGCATTGTCGGCCTATAACATTACTACTTTAGAAACGTCTTTTCATTATTTCACCATAGTGCTTGCCATGTCAAATTCCAGCTTAAACCCCTGGGTATATTGCTTTGCTAATAGACAAATTAAAACAGGAATTATGTCGCTTTTTGATCCTGTGTTAAATCCTTTGCGAAAACGCGTCATCCCTGACGCAAATTCGCGGAACGAGGAAGGTGGCGAGATGCAGTTTGAGATGCGAAACGTCCACGGGGCTATTTTGGTCAGCTGTCAGGGAGTCTTACCCAGTCTGGAAGGGACAAGATCTAGTGAAGTTAACACGTAACGCCGAAGCTTTCAAAACACTAAATGTGATACTCCCCTATAAAATTATTTTAAAAGGTAGTCCCGAATTTAGGGTCGTTTCGCTGTAAGTAAAACACGGTACTGCGTGAATTAATTAAGCTATCTTAATTAACGCCAAAATATGAGTGCAGTTGATATAGATCCACGTGGTGTGACCAGTCCAGAGGGGGGTAATATAATTCTGTGATAATTATAAGGCTGCGAGGCGCATGGCTGATAAGTTTACTTCCCTGAGTTGGATCCAAATTAAACTCACATGGCTTCACAAGAGGCTGAATTAAGGCTTGGACTGACACTTCAACGTTTAAAGTGATCTTCTGAGTTTTTGGTAGCATTTTTAGAACTGCAAGTCAAATAGGTAATGAATTTAACCCGGTAATTTTCATGCAGTTGAGGTTTTTTAATTCGATTGTTAGTGCTAGCAAAAAAAAATAAGAGGCTATGGTTCCTTTTGTTTGAGTCTTAACAATGACATATATAGGAATAACAAAACTACTATTGGTAAATTTCTCATAAACTTGTAATTACTTACAACTGTAGGTAGTTTGTTGTAAGAAATGCATTGTAAATGAGTTTGTTGCAAGTAATGTATTGTTGTTGTTTATTGCATTGTATAAAACATATCGCAAGTTAGTCTAGCCATTGAACTGTAAAAAAGTATTAGCGAAATGTGGCAAAACACATATTAAAAAAAAATGCAAAAAAACTTGTAGTTACAATGTAAATACATTCAACACAGTAAAGAAAGTCATGACGGGATGCACGGGGCTTCTACTGTAAGTACCGTAGAGAAATGGTAGGAAA